GAAATAGGCGGTTATCTGAGCACAGTTGCAGCAGACGGTTGCCATTATTTGTTCTATTAGCCACGACACCATAAGATCCACCCAGGTGTCTTTCGTTTTCACTGATTCTACCTACTTGAGCGTTAAAGTCACCAGCCATTAATACGCTATCAGACGGCTAGTTAGGTTCTAGTAAAACTCGTCTTTTATCTCGTCTGAACTGCAGTCAGTCATTTTAAAATAAATTTAAGAATAAAATCTATTCACAAAAGTAAATATGTACGAATAAATGTTTCTGTTGTTCTCAAACTAATATTAAGTCTAGAAAACATAATTACCTAGTTTAGATATTTCTTGTTACTCTTAGGCTACTTACTGTGTAACAATTCACTTCTCACAATTTTCAAGACAGATACAACGCAGAACTTCGTAAGTAAGTACAACAGTTCAGGTTGCCATACTGCATTAGCACAGAGACACAACTGTCAGTTCAAATTCCATAGTGGTGAAGATAGTAGAAGAATTGGAGCTAGTGGAGAAGATTAGAATTTGAGGATAATATTCAAGAAGTATAATTCAATGAGATAAAGTTAGAAGGAGAAAGATAGAAGTGATGAGAAATTCAGAAGGTTAGATTTTGAGAGAACACAAAGAGTGGATGCACGTGCACCATTACAAACGATTTTGACCCATGTCGTTCAAGGTGTCTAACTATCGGTTAGTTCCGTCTCGCGGACCCCAATCAGGTAGCCTACATCTACCAACATGACTCAGTCCACTTGTCAATGACTTCATTGATTTGTGCCATGTTTTGGTCTGGCCGCCCCTAACTTTCTTCCAACCTACTCCTACACTGCAAAACATAGCTCGTCGAGGCAGTCGGTGGTTAGCCATAGGTAATTGATGAAGTTTCACTATTTCATCTATTAATTTGCCATCCCTACCTAGAACTCGTCTTTCAACGACAGTATTGCTTATACGGTTATCCCACGATACACGAGCAATGCTTCGGAGACATCGATGATCGATGACTATTAACCTACGGAAGTCCTTTACTCTTAACGGCCAAGTCTCGTATCCGTATAGTAGGACGGAGCGAACTGTTTCACAGAATTATATTAAAATGATTTTATACCTCCTTTATTTAGCAACTAAATTCAAGTAAATAAGATAATATTTATTTGTGTGTATTTTAGACAAAATATCTACCCTACTATACAGCAGTCTGAAATATTCAGGGAGTCAAAATTGAAATCTAATCGATTTATTCTTCTATATTCGATGTTAAGTTCGTCGTAGACTGAAAGTAAAAGAATGCTAAACATATCTATCTGCTGACTCCATCATGGGATTTCTCAAAATGTATTTTATTTATGACAAGCACGATTGTGGTATCTTATTGAATGAGATTGACGGAAAAGAATAATGTTTTATGAGACTTTTCTCTTGATTCAATTTATTTTCAGTTTCAATCGGTCTAATTAAATAATAAAAACATTTTTCTAAGATTTTAGTCGAACAATTTTTCGAGAGGTAATTTTAGAAAAAATTGAATCCTCTCTACACTGGTTAGTTAGTTTAACCTTGATACTTTCATCAACTCTAGACATTTTTATAATAAATTTCATAAAAATTACAAGACATGATGATCATACATCAAAATATCGAAATTATCAATGACGAAAAGGTTCTATCAACCGTCCATATACTTTTTGTTTTCACTCCAAATAAATTTAACTAACAAAATCCCATGTATTAGATGACTACTTGTCTTAGTAAAGTTACATGTTACACGATATTCTTTGTCCTAGAAGAAAGCGTTTGATTTTAGTTGGGTTGAGTGAGTCATTCATTGTATATCCTAAGAACGGAAAGCAAATTAGGCGATCTTTGTATGCAAATTATGATGATGATGACTCATTATCGTTTGATTGATTAGACAACCTGATTGACAGGTGTTATCGATTGCAATTTCAATCAATCTCATTGTAGGAATAATTTCAGTTAGTGTACCAAAGTGAAATTTCAAACAACCATAATATTACTCTTCTTCATTGATAGCTTCAAATGAAGAACCTTTCTCAATCTAATTTATTTTGTTTAAGAATCAAAACAGCAGAATTAGTAAAACTAACTCTCGGAAAAATAAACGTGTCTAAGTGATAGTTTTGACAGAAGTAAAAAGTATTTGGATGAGCCATATTCAATATTCAATTGATCCATGCTGGTAATTTTTACTGGAATGGTAAATGTTCTTGTCAAATATAATAATAGCACAAACTTTTGGATGCATAAATATTCAAACTAAGCAAATCCTTAGTATCTGGTAATTAACAGAGTCTACGAAAAACTTTTCTAGTGTGAAAATTCAAACGACTATGATGATATTCTTCAATACTCTGTGATTTTCTTCATTGATATCTTCAAATGAAGAACCTTTCTCATTCTTAGCATTTTGTTTGAGAATCAAAACAGCAGAATTAGTAGGACTAACTCTCGGAAAAATACACGTGTTTGAGTGATAGTTTTGATAGAAGTAGAGTATTTGGATGAGGCAATCAAACTAAAGATGATATTACCTTGGAATCTTAACTCGAAAATCAAAATAGAATGACAGATAGCTTGAAACTAATTAAGAATAATGTAAAAAATTCAGAACATGTACTGACATTTTGTTAATTAAGCTCTGATAATTGACAAAAGTTTTAAGACTAAAGACTAGGAACGAATTTGAGCTATTCCTATTCACATTCCTATTTCTATTCATAGCCACCTTTAGCTCACTGTTGTGTAAGTGTATTTTCTCAATTTATGGTGTGACCTGGTCTGGCATGAAAGACTACGTCTGATGCTGGTTCACGGATTTCTGGACAGGATAGAAAGAACCTGTCTACTTGTGGATCAATAAGGATTTCGGACTGACTTGCTGTTTCTGGCGCTAACATATTTCTGATCAGTGTTTTCTATTTGCCACTTGATATTGATTAACAGTTACGGATACATCAAACTAAGACAGCTGTTTACCAATGAGATGTTCTATTTTCACTGTTTTTCCTTTAAAAGCTATGTGACTCGAATATCCTGTATGTGGACTCGTCGTGATATTGTGAATGTGCACTAACAACAGTAAACATCGAAAATGGGATGCGATAGTTGTTTAGCATTCGCTCGTTTCCAGTAGATTTTCCAAGATTATCAATCTTTGATGAAAGTTTATTTTCAAATAGTTTAAGACATCTATTATGCAGTGCATTCCTTTTCATAATAAATGTTACCGTACATGTAATAGTATTCATGATTATCAAACTGAAGTTGGCAATAATTAAAATGAATTTGGTAATGTTACATTCGATATTTACTTTTAATGACGACATAATTTAGTATAAATAAACTATCGTAGTAATCATACACTCATACTAAATGAGCTATATTTCAAGTGTTATACATTATTTAACCATAAGATTTCATTTTGTCAGTTGATTGTAACCTTTATGAACTTAGTCATATTTTCAGATGAATCTACATTAGTATGAAGTGTTGTCTATAATGACTAATCTTGTATGCTGAATTGATACACGTATTTTAACTTTCATCTGACAAAATCAGTTTGTATTCTTATCAAATAAATTTAGGCCAGTCATATGGTTTTATTAACTGGTCAGGTACAAATCGCGATTTTATCATTTATCATTTTTCGACAAATCAATCAGTGAAGTTTAACCACGTCGCGTATGCGACAATTATCCATCAGAGCTAATGGAAGGTAGTTAGTTGTTCAGTAGTTTAAAGGTGAAATGTTCCTGTGTGAGGCCAAAAAGTTCTGGGTTCATGGAGGAGCCGTGTTGAGGAATCTCATACATACTAAGCAGAATCAGCTATTCATTCCTTCTTGACTTTCATTGGTTGGTTATCTAGCTAAAATCATTTTTTCACAAACTATGAAAATTGAAAGCAGTCTACACTACAGTATCAGGTGACTTTAATCGAACCAATACGAGAGTACCGAATAGCTAACTATTGTTATGTTATTAATACGGCTTTTCAACAGTGCTCTTTGGTTTTTAATGGTTGTATAATTAAGTTAATTCTTTAAGTAAGTTCATTGCCTTCAACTTAATAAACACAATCTCAAAATCAAAACTTTCACCTGAATTTTGATTGATAAATAACAAATGGAAAATCACACCAACACCATCTAATCATTTTCAAAACTCTGACCTAACATTTCAAAGAATGAACTGATTTCTCTGCTTTCAATGTAAAACTCATTATCAGTTAAGATTATGGATATTTTAGTGTTTTCGTCAGAGATTATTGACAAATAGTTAATACATTTGAAATCATCAATCAATCATTGTTAGACCACCATTAGAAACCTGGAAGCACTGGACGGCCGTTTCGTCCTGGTATGGGACTCATCAGCAGTGCGCATCCACGACTCCTGCTCCTCGCAGGATTCGAACCCGGGACCTTTGGCATTGTAGGCGAACGCCTTACCACCGGACCACTGGGACGGCATCCAACGTTGTTAATGTCTAACTCTGATGATTTCAAATGTGTAAAAAATCGCAAACCTCCAAAACTGTGCCCCAAAATATCGTAACAGTGCTCACTAGTGACTAGCTTCGTGAGGAAATTCTCGGAGTTCTAGTTGAGAAGACGTGACCAATGGAGTTCAACCCTGTCGGGTGTAGGCAGTAACTACCAAAGACAAATGGGTGAGGTCGTGCAAAATCCCTAGATCAATCAGAGTTAGATATTAACACCGTTGGATGCCGTCCCAGTGGTCCGATGGTAAGGCGTTCGCCTACAATGCCAAAGGTCCCGGGTTCGAATCCTGCGAGGAGCAGGAGTCGTGGATGCGCACTGCTGATGAGTCCCATACCAGGACGAAAAGGCCGTCTAGTGCTTCCAGGTTTCTAATGGTGATCTAACAATGATTGATTGATGATTTCAAACGTGTAAAAAAAAATCACAAACCTCCAAAACTGTGCCCCAAAATAGTTAATAATTGAAACCGATTGTTAACTGAAATTATTTGTAATGTATTTAATTAGAAAATGAAATCTAAGAGAGAACGACAACGTAAGCATGTTTGTTAAATGGCTAAAGATTTAAAAACAGAAAAAAAAAATAGAAACTAGATAGTATTGATCAAAGAATAATTCATTCCATTGTAAATTGAACAAATTAATAAAAATGATGATAGTTCGTCGTCATACAGTTTTAATTGGATACAAACTAATGAATGTTCTAAATAACAATAATAATAATAACTTTGAGAATCTAAAAAAGGAACAAACAATAAAAGTGATATAAATTTTTGTTTTTTTTTCAATAAGCTGTTTTTTTTTTCGTCCATATCAAATGTGCTGTGTTCACTTGACTGATTGATTTACTACTACATTCGGCGTTGATGAATTTTTATTCTATTCAATTCGATTCGAATTGAACTTCTAATTTAACGAGAATGAATAAGTTAAAATACTGAACATTATTGAAAGTATGATTGATTTGACTTGTACACTAGTAGTTAAAATACTTTGATTGCATGCATCATCTGTGCATATACAATAGCGCATTTTCACTTTGTCTGTACCCACTCTGTCGATACATTGTGGCGATTCAGTTGGAATAGCGCTACAATCACGATAAATTCGTACAGTTGGTCGATTTGTAGCATTATGACTGTAAATATATGGTGCTTCCTGTTTAAAATTGTAAACAAAATAAAAAAATCAAAGAGAAACAGATGGAGATTATGTACAACTTAAATGAGCAAGGAGAAAAGAAGTTGCCCTGTCCTGTGAATATTAATCAATAACTTTACATTGAAATGAGAAATTTGAATAACACCTGATACCTGTTAAACCAAGTTTGATTGTTACACAAGTCAATTTAGCTTGGTGAAAGCCTCGCTGACGTTTGGAAAAGATAGATTTTCAGTGATTAATTAAGCGATAAAGAAATCGCTACTTATAAATGAGGTGTATTAATCAATTGTTACTATACAATCGGTTATAAATATACTTAGATTTAAGTTGCAATACACAAAGAGGAATGTCGAAATATGAGAAGCTATATTACTACTTATCAAGTAACCATCAAGAATATATCTGTTTCAGACTTATCAACTTTAAAATATTAATTGATATGTATAAGCATTCACTATGGAAAACGATTTAGTAAAAGCATAGAATATAGACCAACTAATTAGAATTTTAAAAAAATGACAAGGGTTTTTGTGTGACGTTCATAAACAAATGATTTTTTATCTTCTATCCCCCAAAAATGAGCATTTGAAACACTCTTGTATATTGAACAAGACCTTAACATTGATCTCTAAATCTTAAATCTATAAAGCTAAACTCTTAATTCTAACACTAATTATCTAAATCTTTAATCTTAAATCTAACAAGGAACAATACAGGAATTCTAATACATCCTATCAGAGTTCTACAGAGGATCGGAAAGTCAGAGAATCTATATCTGTACTAACAAATCCATGTGTCCTTTTCTCAATTTACTGTAGAATACTTCAATAGATTGATTAATTATATAAAAACTCTTTTCTCTTTATGCCATTACTGCTCACTTTGATTGAAATGCGTTTTTTTGGTTAAAAGTCGTCTTGGTTGATTGAAACTCTCTTCTGTACTACATATATACTCCCACGATATTTATTTAACGTTTTAAAATTCCTGTTTTAGAGTAATGGGTTGTCGAAATAAATCCCGATTTTCTAACCCGGATAGAACTAACTATGAATGTTGGTTTACTCTTTTTGTACATTCGTGGGCACGTTAAGTGAAGTTACATTTTCATAATCAGCCATCAGTTAATAGAGCTTGAAATCTCTTCATATCTAGTAAATAAATGGAGAAATTGCTAATCAGTTACTGTTCAGCCATGCGTAAATGACTGACTCATTCGTGTTAAGATTAGGTAAATAGTTTTTTTTTGACAAAGAATGTGATTGAGTCAATGAGGGTGCAAATAGATACCGAATGAGATAGCTGGAACATATATTTCTCAGACTCAGTTATCAACCATAGTTGAATTATGCTGTTGTAGGTAAGTAAAATGCCAACGATTACAAGATGAAAGCATACTACTAGTATGGATCGAATGATAGGCAGAAGTAGGATCTTTTCGACCGAGACCACAAATGCAAATCAAATCAAATCTTCGACGCATATATTTGTAAATATTCACTTATTCCTACACTCATATATGAACTCTATTTCTCTACATCAGCCTAATCATGAACGTTTAACAAACAAACTTTGTACTTCAACTACTATAACTACGATAACTGAATCATTCAAGCGTACTAACTTCAGTAACTCAATATAAAACAAAATCTATGAGAAAATGTCATCTAGTTTCAGCCACAATAGATCACATCACAAGCCTAATGGATGAAAGTCAATAACTACAACATATATGACATTATTAACTAATCAGTTTAGAGAAAGAATAGTTTCTCATGATCGAATAACCCTAAACCAAACAAAATGCTAAACATTATTAATAGGTCACTTCAGTTGACATCATTTGATACAAAGATAATATTTTATTTTGTTGTCTACAAGAGCTTTGAACTCATTTTTAAGAGAAGCACAATGATAAAGTGAATTTATTGACCTCCTTTCTTATCTCAATTTAAAACTATGTCAAAGAGAATTTAGGCTATTGACAATCAGTATGATTTCGAATGTTTAATAATACGAACAATCCGGGTAATTACTATTATTTGAAGTGACTAATACACTTTGAGCTACAATTACGATGACTCAACTCAAGGGTTTCTCTCACTAGAATTTCAAGAAATCTCCATCTAATGAATTAAGATTTTTATACAATTTGTAAATAGCTTAATACTATCAACTAAAATTCACTTCAAATGGTAGTATTTACAATGAGTAATTTATGTACATTTACTGATAGACGATATAAACTTATTATTGAAGGAATTTTCAAATCAGAGAATAAATAATAAGAGTGTGGTTGTCAGTCATTTCAACCGATTGTTACATTGTTATCAGGATTTGATAAACAGTAAATTTAACATATATTCTACAAAGAATATGTAAATTTGATAATTAAAAATGTTCAGTTGATAGATTATTAATTTAGTTAGTTATACATATACATCAGAAAATAGTTTGATTAGATATCCTAAACAATCATATCAAGACATCAAAGTAAATATTCTGACTGAATAAAAAAATAAAACCAATAAAATAGGATAATATTATCAGCTAAATAATGTATCACATCTAATCAAAGTTCAAATGTTTATCAATAATCAATAGTCAGCAAGCTCCTAGTGGTAGAACTAATAAAAAACTAGAATGTATTCAACAGTTGTTGAGTTTAATTCAAGTATTTCTGATAAAAAAAAAATATGAATCTTTTGATTTCAACTAACTAGTTTCAACTATATTATTTCTGTACACAAGACTTAAATATACCTTGATTTCGATCTCATGTTATATTCTAAATGAACGTTATTTTTTAGATCTGATACTAGTGCGAAATAGCTGTGCTGTTCCTTACAATTGTAATCAAATACAAGACAAAAGAGTAGTAAACTGAATGATCATTTTATCTTTAGTATATACATAGAAATAGATGCATGTATGTTATCTTGTTCTTCATAGTGTTCTTCAAAAGTGTCTATTTACAACCTTACACAAGATTGAAACTAGGGACTTTTCAAATCTAGAATTAAAAAAAAATATATATATCTTCTTTAATTTTCATGTACATTAACATTGATAAAATGACATTTATTTATTTGAAATCATTAATCAATCATCATTGTTAGACCACCATTAGAAACCTGGAAGCACTGGACGGCCGTTTCGTCCTAGTATGGGACTCCTCAGCATTTATTTATATTAAATAATAAAAATAAACAAATATTTATATTCATCAATTTACCTGAACTACAGTTTTACATGATGATTGTAAATGTGGTGGACATTCTTTTGGTCGTTCACGTGAATTTAAAACACTATTACATACACTATCAGCATGTGAATTGCATTGATAACATTTAAGTGATGTCACATAATTTGTAGTGTATAAAAGCAAAATGAACTGGGCAACAATTACACTGAACATTTGCATTATTTATTATTTGTATACAAATTTTGTTGTTGTTGTTTTACTTTGAGTGTTTGTTTTTTTGTTTTTTACAATCAATTATTTTATTTCCAAAATTGAATATTGAATAAATAATACAAGTGTTCAATTGTTTATTTTCTCTTTTTGTTTTAATATAGAACTAATCAGTTATTAAACAGAGAAAGATCTGTGTATCAATGATATTTGTTTGATAAGGTAGTTTAGTTAGTTATAAGATACAATAAATTGTTAGAACTATTGATACAAATTGTATAGCATGATCAATAAATAAACGAATCTAGATAGAACCAATATATATGTATTATTTCACAATCATATACAAAATGAGAATGTAAATGTAAAGGGGTGTTTAGTTGATTAAATAATTTTACTAGTAAAATTTAACTTCCGGTATACACTCTATCGTCAAGGTTGTATTTTGTGTGAATGAAATATAAATATATATATATATACGTCAAATTTATGCATACTAAACTAGTGAAACAAATCACATACGTAAATGCGCACATACATGAATGAACACACGTACAAGGTCAATGAAATATCAAATGTTCAAAACGAATAATTTACACAATGACCTTGTAATGAAGATAGATTTTTTTTGTCGATACCAAAAAAAAAATGTGTACGAATAATGCTAGTGTTATTATAATAAGTTATTAAATATTTTTGTTAAACGTTTTGTAAATGTAACAACATGTTTTCGAATTTCACAAAGTGTTTTTTTTTGGATTTACTCTTTGTGAAAGGATTTGATGAAACATTCGAAAATCAGTTGGGATCAGTTAGCTAGGATTCAATAAATTAATTTTGATTATTCCTACAAGTAGTTTAATATATTTGAATAAGTTTACCAGTATTCTTTCATAAAAGTCATTCAATTAGATTCTAATAAATTCACTCAAAGGAATGTTGTTACTAGAGGCATCTTTTCTAAAAGAGTATATCTAATGTAACAAATGTTTTATTTTGAACTTATGTTAACGAAGTAATTGTATAAACCGTATTAATGGCTTTTAAGTAACATACTTTTCCAGAAAGTCTATGACCTATGGTTATACTAAAACTGACTGTGACTACGATATTGTTCATGTAGAAATAGTAATAAAGTAACTGTACCCAAAAAGTTGAACAAATAGTGTGAATTATTTGTTCCAGTTAGCGTGTTTTTAGCAAGTTGGTTTGCTACCAGATCGATTCGATAATCCCTATCTAACCGGGGCTCCAGCAGCAGAACCCAGAATGCCTCAGGTGGATCCATTGGCCAGATACTATCAGTAACAACCTAATGTGGGAGAGAACAAACCAGATTTCGGCAGAGGAAGAAATTAGGGAAATGCGCTGGAGGTGAAAAGAACACACATTGAGGAATGCGCACGAACCGCATCATGAGACAAGCCCTAACTTGAAGTCCTCAAGCTCCTAGGGAAAGAGGAAGACTAAAAAACACATTACGCCAAGAATTGGAGACAGAAAAGAAAATAACGATCAGGAAATGGGTAGAAATGGAAAGGGAACGATAGGACAGTGTAGGTGGGATAATGCTGATCGTCGGCCCATGCTTAATGATTTGTAACAGGTGTAATCAATCAAGTAAATACCTGAACACATCCTTCAGGGTTAAAAACTAATTTCCAAGAACTCATACAAACAAAATCTAAAATAAGACATAATTAGCAGTCGAAAACCGAAAGTAAACATTTGTTTGTCATGGAATGCCAGCAGTATAAAGTGTAGGGAAATTTTCTGTCGATAAACAGCCAAGACAATAGTTAAACCTGACTGAGAGCGGTCAAGCACACAACTCGACTCTAACTTTAAGTGGGTAACACAAATTAAGTCAAAAGAAATCCAAAACAAGCAATCAAACATCTCGGAATAAAAGTGGGATACATAAACTAAATTAGGTACTCAACAACGATCAATAATTTTATCCGAAGAAAGATCACAATAATAATATGTCTGTGAAGGTGAACTCTGAAATGAAACAGTCACTGCCTAGTAAAATTAATCTGAAGGGATTTGTTGATCTAGTACTTTGTATCAAATTATTCAATCGTGACATTAAAACTCAGTACTAATGTATATATTTCAAAAAGAGTGAATGACAACTATACATCAACATTTTGACAAAATTTAAACCTCTTTTTTTCATAGACTACATGAATCCGACTAAATTTACGGAGTGATAAGTTGATAACCAATGATGATAACTTCAAAGTCAAAGTGGTAGAAATACGGATTTATTGTTTGACATTTAATGAATATGATTATTTTAATCAGATACCTTTTTATCAAATTCAATAAATGTGAAATCCGCTAGCCAGGATTTTTCACAAGTTTTCTTCAAAAGAAACTAGTTTGTTGAAGATCAACATTGTAAAGATCAGTGATTTATACATATATATATATACATATATATATACATATATATACATATATATATACATATATATATATATATATATATATATATATATATATATATATATATATATATATATACGACCTCGTTATCATGCTGTATATCAACCAATTTCGCCTTCAACGAGTTTTGATTATCTCCAGTGGTTAGGACAAGAACGTTCAGTTGAGTAACGGTATTTTCAAACTGAGCGTCGATCGAGAAGTTAGAAGTTTCGACATAAGGTATAGAGAGTTAAATCCGAGAGACAGAGCTTCTTTTTCATATACAGAAAGTTCAAAGGATGATAAATTTGTTTAATACTTATCCGGACTAAACTGCAATGGATTTCCTCGATTATCAATAATGACGAACTTGTCCAAATTTTGCGTCGTAGCACATTTAGTTTTTGAGATCGCCGAACTGCAAAAGATCAGAAATTTAACATGACATACGACAGAAAAATTTTATAATACGCATGATGCACGTGTATGAAGTTCAATTATCAATGTATGTCTATTTAAACTTTTATTTAATTGACCTTTTATTAATCTTCATACACAATGCCTTGACAAGTAAGTAAATACGTGCAAATTTTCACTTTGAAAAGCATACTCGAAGCATCAATTCTTTTGTTACAGATGTCTTTTAAGTACTTATGACCGTTACAACAATCTATCCAATAAAGCTGCAAATCACTAAACTGACCATGTTCGTTATCTACAAAATATAATATACAGTCATATTTATATGCTCATTCTGAATTCAGATGCACTTAACTAGCACTAAACTCTAAACACAACATAGGAATAAATAGACTATAATTATCAAGCTCAAAAACCTGATGTTCTTTTTTATTTTAATGACTAACATTGTGTATGTACCATATGTATCTACTATACTCGACTTCCAACCCATGAGGTTGTCTGAATGTCGATTAAGTATTTGGAATCGCTAACTCAACATGAACTACAGAAAACATTTCACAAACTAATCAAATAACCAGTTTGTGTTAAAACAGAAATATATCGATCGATCGAATTGGGCTGTAGATAATCAGATGTGAATCGATAAATAATCCATTTTGAAATTTGAAATCTCTCGAAACTGTAATTGTGTGTTGACAGTTTTCAGTCAAGTCTGGTGGAATGAGTTACAACAAAGGGATGCGAATGGCTTATCTTATTTTCTTCGTAATTTTCATGAGTATAATCTTAACTACCGGGAATACTAAATATTTGTCAGCTTCAGCTGCGTCTGAGTCCAAAAGCATATCCAACCATACTGTAGCAGGAACTAATGGAGAAGAACCAGGTGGTTCGCGACGTGTAAAGAGATCTATGATTGCGGCCGCGGACGGAGCCGAGGCAGCAGAGGCGGGAGCGGGAGCGGCAGCAGCAGCGGAAGCGGGAGCGGGACCGGCGGGTGCAAAATCATCGGACTCGAAAGGTAAAGGTGGAATATATGTAGCGTCATTGTTGTGATTTGCCTAATATTTGTCGCATTTTATCGCTAAGTGATTTATATTTGTCTATAATGTGTCGTTCTTGTTGAGCATACTAAATGCATATCCTAAGGCAGCTGACTGGTTTCCATTTCATCTGTGCTATCTTATTACACGTTTTAGTGCTCTTGAAACAACAGTCAAGTTCTTGTAGTGAGCAAGTCAAGGCAGCAGATTGACTATGCTCGCCACTAAATGTTCCATGATGTCCCGCCATCATTGAAATCAAAATAAATCCATGTGAAAGGTTTTATTTAAGGAGACAGTAAGCATTACATTGGGAACAGCAAATAGAGAAAACTGGCAGCAACGCGAAGAGAACGTTGGGCGCAAGAAGTCGTAGAAGTTTTCTTGGTACAGTTAAACAAAACGAGTAATATAATGTTTATTTTTCACAAATCGCATTTTCTTCGTAGAAGTGTTCCATTACAGTCTGCTTACTGATTGATTGATTGATTGATTATAAGTGAGTAGATAGCTACTAGAATAGTCATTCTCGTTATTTTGTTCATAATATTTATCTTACTGAAAGTGACTTGCATGTGTTTTTGGGCTAATCAAATCAATAACGACCTACCTTTGTGTCTTAGCGACTCAAATTCAATCGGATTCTGATAATCCATTAACCAGTACTGAAAAGCAATATTTTCTAGCTGATGTTTTTGTCAAGTCGAAATCATGTGAAAAAGCGCAGATAATATTATGGTTGTTGAGGTCGGACGTACGTTGATTTCGCTGAGACTGATGACGGTTGATGTCTTCTACTAATGTTGATCAGAAGATTGATGTCTTCTACTAATGTTGGTCAATGTTATCAGATGTTTTCAGAGCATTGAGTGTGGTAGAATAGTGGTCAACAATAAGATAACTTACATTACCTAATTATCTCATGGTTTGCATACATGAAGTCAGTTTGTCATTGATATCCATGTTATCTTCACATTTGTGGAGAGAGGATTGTTTTGTAAAACTAGATGATTACCGAACTCTCTATCTTCCATCATGTACAATTTTCTGATGAAACCATAACCATCTGAATACATATCTTCTTGATCGATCAAGTTTAAAATGTAGAGATGAGTAAATGAACGTTGACAATCTTGATGAGTTGTATATTTCGATCAGTGTGTTTTATGAGATATTGCTTTCGAGTCCTCATGAGGATTAACAAATATTTGTCATAAAACGTAGGTGAGAATTATTTCCTAATGAAGGAGGTGGACAGCGTTGACGAATATAACTTGAACTAATCGATCACGATGAGAGTTGGCCATAAGCTCTGACTCGACCAGTAATTTTCGAGTAGAGAGTGTGTACAGGGTTAATGTCAGTCAGTCAGTCAGCCAGTTGCAACGTAGAACTTTGTACATAAGTACATCAGTTCATGTTGCCATACCACATCAGCACAGAGAAGTAATCGTCAATTCAAATCCAATAGTAGAAGAGGTAGTAAAGGTATTAGAAGTAATCGGAGAGGTTAGGATTAGAAGATATTATTCAAGAAGTATGGTTCAGTGAGAAAAGTTTAGAAAGTCAAAACTAGAGGTGTTGAAGAATCCAGAAGATTAGGATTTGAGAGAACACAAAGAATAAATGCAACGGCGCCATTGCGAACGATTTTGAGCCATGTCATTCAAGGTCTCTAGCCATCGATTATTATCATCTCGCGGACCCCAACCAGGTAGTCGACAATTTCCGACATTGCTCAGTCCACTAGTCAATGACTTCATGGATTTCTGTCATGTTTTGGTTCGGCCGCCCCTAGCTTTCTTCCAACCTGCTCCTACACTGCAAAACAAAGTTCGTCGAGGCAGTCGCTGGTTGGGCATACGCAAGACATATCCCAACCACCTCAACTAATGAAGTTTCACTACTTCATCTATTGATCTGCCATCCTTACCTAGTACTCGTTTCCTAACGACAGCATTGCTCACTCGGTTGTCCCACGGTATACGAGCAATGCTTCGAAGACACCTATGATCGAAAACCAGTAACCTGCGAATATCTTCTACTCTCACTGGGCATGTTTCACAGCCATATAGGAGAACGGAGCGAACTGCTGCACAGTACGCTCGTCCTTTGATTAGAGAACGGATATCACGCCTACGCCATAAGTGACGCAGGTTGGCAAAAGCCAATCGAGCCTTCTGTATCCGAGCTGAGATTTCGTCAGTCACCAGGCCATCGGCACAGATGAGACTCCCAAGATAATTGAAGCGGTCAACACGCTCGACTACTTCACTCCCTATCACTAGTTCAGGTGCCGATGCAACCCAATCTTGAAGCAGCATCTTGCATTTCGAGGGGGAAAACCTCATCCCGAACATGCTTGCATTGTTGCTTAGGGTAGTCAGAGGACTCTGCATTTTTTCAGCGTCTTCACCAACTAGGACAATGTCGTCGGTATATTCTAAGTCAGTAAGCGAACCACCTGGTAAAAGGTCTACTCCTGAAAATTCGCACGAGGATAAGGTTATTTCTAGGAGCATGTCTATTATAAAATTAAACAAAAATGGAGAAAGTGGACTTCCCTGACGGACACCACTTGATGTAGAGAATTCAGATGACAGTTCGCCATAAGCCCTCACTCGACCAGTGGTGTTCGAGAAAAGAGCTTGTATAAGGTTAATGTAATTCTCTGGTACACCTTTCAATGACAGACACTGCCACAGAACCTCACGATCCATAGAGTCAAATGCCGCCTTAAGGTCCAGGAAAACAACTATTTTAGTACGCCTAAATGTGTGTCTGTGTTCCAGGACTTGTCGTATTATGAAGATGTGATCTATACAACCACGTCCAGGTCGAAAACCAGACTGGTTTTCTCGAGTTTGCTCTTCACGAGCTTTCGTTAAGCGCCGAAGTATTATTGAGGCCAATATTTTAGATACTATATTAGTTAGACTTATTCCCCTGTGATTGTCACAAGAAGACTTTTGTCCTTTCTTATAGATCGGGACAATCAGTGATTGAGACCAGTTGGATGGGATTACGTCCACTTCCCAGATCCTACCTAAGATCTCAATCAACCCAGCTGCTAAAACTGGACCACCATCCTTAAATATCTCAGGGGTCAGTCTATCAGGACCTGCAGCTCGTCCTCGCTTCAGATTTCCTAACGCTTTCTCAACGTCATTAAGACTAGGGGGACTTAGGTCGATTTGCCATTCAGGATGACTGGAGATCGTGGGTAACCGAAGAGTCGCTCGAGGCCAGTTGAACTGATCCTTAAAGTGTTCTGCCCATCGATCCAGTCTCCTGGATTGAGAATAAATAATAGTCCCGTCATTTTCTGAGATAGTTTCACTTACACTAGGACTCCTAATACCAGTTTCTTTGATAAGTCGGAAAAGTTGTCTACTGTTGCCGATCGCCGCTGCCTTTTCCATCGCTTTTGCTTTCGCCACCCACCACTGTTCGCGGTCGTTACGCAGACTTTTTATAAGTCTGTGCCTAAGCTGACTACGCTCTTCATCATGCTCAGAGTCAGGTGGGATGCGTTTTCGAGCATCCATCAGTTCGGTGGATGCGAATGAAATCCACGGCTTCATCCTAGCCTCATGGTTTACCTTCCTAGCAGATATCACTGCTGCCTCCACAGCCTTTTTGATATCATACCAACCTGCTTCCGGATGGGAATCGCTTGCATGGTTGCTTAACTCTCTTTCTAGTTGCTCCTGAAATATTTTCTTGGTTTGATTATCATTAAGTAAAACCCTAAGAGGCTTTCTTACGGTGTCTTTCCTACGTCCAGTAAGCCTTAAACAGATACGAGCTCGCACTAGAGCATGATCTGAATCCAAACATGTGCCCCAGAACGAGCGACAGTCTTCTATCGAACCCCTCCATCGGTGTCTGATGGCGATGTGATCTAGTTGATTCCAACGTTGAGACGACTTCGGAGGTCGCCAGGTCAACAGATGCTTTTCCTTATGCCTAAAGTTGGTGTTCGCTAAGAATAGGCGGTTATCTGAGCATAGTTGCAACACACGGTCGCCATTGTCTGTTCTCTCAGTCGCTACACCATAACATCCACCTAGATGTCTTTCCTTTTCACCTAGTCTACCTACTTGAGCATTAAAGTCACCAGCCATTATAACTATATCAGAGCGCTTAACTTTTTGGAGGAGGTCCGAAAGCTTTCTGTAAAACTCATCTTTAACCTCGTCTACACTGCAGTCAGTGGGGGCATAGGCAGATACGATGAAGAGGCAACGGCGATTGTCCCTATCTTTCCGAGTCTTTACTATCCCGCTTAGTCGGAAAGCGCACAAGCGACTATCAACTGGGATCCCGTCAAGGAGAGATACTTCTGCCCTAGGACTCAACGCTATGCCTACGCCAGCAAGACCCCTGGAAGCAGCATCAGGGCTACCGGATACACGAAGAGTAAATCGAGCTGCTTCTTCGTTTTGACAAGGTGGAATCAGGTTAATGAATTTACTAGGATCCTGTATGCGCGTTTCCGAGATGCTGGTTGTCCGAGGGAAACACCTTACTGCTGTCACACCCCTCCATCACATTCAGCAGTACGACTTAGCCCTCAGACTTTGGATAGCTGCTTTTAGTCTCATCGTTCTCCAATCGACCTGCCTGGCATGGTAGGACCTGCAGGAACACATGTTCCAGCCAATATAGCTCGGTTGGGTCATCACGATAGGCAAGCCCGACCACCACGTCAAGGCAGCAGCTTCGATCAGGACAGGGTTAACGTACTTCGGTTTTATGGCTTTCACTGACAGACTCTGTCACAGAAACTCACGATCAACAGATTCAGAGTCCCCTTTCCTGTCGAGGAATACATCCGTTGTCGGACGTCGAGAAGAGGTATGAGTTTCCGTTTATCTGATGGTAATCACTGTTATGGAATGAATAAATTCATGATACATTTGTAGTTCCACTACACATTTTTGATAATATGCTGACATTTGACTTGTATCTCCTA